TTGCGAATTAATCTTTATTTTCTATAGACATATACGTAATACACTGTGTTCTATCACTGTATGTACGTATTCCTCGACGTACCACATATGTGTACATATAGATGCGTATGCATATACATACATATATATTTGTCTGTCCTTTACCTGCTGTACAGTGCTGTGTGCTGTGTCGGTACGCGTGCAGTCGCATCCGAAATCGATATGTTCTTGTTTGCGTTATGCAAGCAAACATCTCTGGAAAACGCCGACACTCCTCCTCCCTCTCTCTATCTATCTATCTATCTCTCTTTCTCTTTCTATATATATATATATATATATATATATATATATATATATATATGTTCTATCTCCGTCTTTCTCCACCTCTTTCGTTGTCGATGCGCGCCGAGGGAGCCTCGAACGTATCGAATATTTTCAAATACCATGGAATACTATCTATACGTGCCGAGATCGTCGAGTTTGATATCTTCCTCTCGCATCCTTTTCTCTCTTACACTCTCTTTCTCTCGCTCTCTCTCTCATAGTCTTTCTCTCTTTCTGTCTTTCGATAGGAAACGAAGGAGAAAAGGAAAGGGAAGCTGAGACGGTAAAGCGATATCATTTCGTCCACATTTTCCGTCTCCAGTTTTCCTTCCTTCCCTCCACTACCTCCTTTTCTTACTCAACCATACCCCTTCCACCACCCCCTCTTCACCCCTTTATACTCTTTCTACTTCTACTCCTTCTTATTTTTCTTTTTCTTATTCTAGTTCTTCTTCTTCTTCTTTTGCTTCTTTTGCTTTCTTTTGCTTTCTTTTCTTACGAGGTTTTGTGTTTGCGTTTATGTGTGAGTATACGTGTGCATGTACCGAAAGAATGAGTGAGTGAGAAAAAGAGAGAGAGAGAGAAAGAGAGAAAGGAAAGAAGGAAATCCTCCACGATCAATGTTTCATATCTCTATTCTCGGGAATGGCTCGTTCGCGGAAGTGCAGCGCAGAAAATATGCTTTTTAGTCGAACCTCCTTCTATTCCTTTGTATGTGTGCTGTGTGCTGTATATATATGTATGTGTATATGTATATATAGTTCGTTCGTTGCATGATAAAAGCTCTTGGACTCTTCCTTAAACGTAAAAGGAATTAAGGACTCGAAAAATTATCTCTCCGGAGTGTACTCTCCCTTTTTCTATCTCTCTTCCTCTTTATCTATTTCTTCCTCTTTTTTCTTTTTAATTTAAAAAGCAACATTTGTTTTTCAATTTCATTTCTTTTTATTTCCTTTTCCTTTTGTATAATTAAAAAAACAAAATGAAAATGATGAATGTATTATTACACGTTTCTAGTACGCTTGCTTGCACGAATTTACCCAACCTTCCACCCTGCAACCCTCTCCTCTCCTGATTTAGGGACAGATCACTTGTTAGAAATAAAATTAAAAAGATCGAACTTTTATGGTGTTTGTAATCAATTTTTAAGTAATATATATATATATATATATATGAATAGTATGAATATTATTATAGATGTTATTATTGTGTCGAATCGGGAACAAGTTATAAATTAATATTACATATGCATAAATTGACAAAGTATATACTTATAATTTATATATGTTATATATATTGATGTATGTATATACTATAGATCAATTATCTATCGGTTTTTATTGCCGTTTTTGCAAATCAATATCTTGTTCAATGTTATTACAATTTAAGAAAAAAAAAAGCAATAAATTAGTTGTGTGTACTAATATACGGGATAAATAGTTTTGATTGAAATTTCACCAAGAGTAAAAATATCTAAAGATAACAGGTACATTAAAAGCTAATTTGTTTCTCGCTTGGTTCCCCTGAATTTAACGGAATGAAGGCGTGTTTCACCTCGGAGCGTGACGGTTGGGATCAAACTCCATTTAAACTGGCCAGCAAAAAGGTTATTGTGTACACGACGTGATGCGCCTAAAGAAGTTTTCACTTTATCAAAAGAAGAAAAAACCCTCCTATTGTTTTCCAAGCCCGGTAATAACGATTAAAAATGTTTGTTTATTTGTTTGTTTATTGTTTCTGGTTGTCATCGATTTTCAACACGGGTGCCTTTAAGATAATAAAGGTTGAGTATCCCTGGAGTTAGGGATATTGATGTAGTTACACTACTATATACATACTACTACTGCATTTGATATTTAATACGTTGAAACTAAAAAGATATCATCTTAGCTCGTAAATCACGAGACGCGCGCGCGCGTGTCTTTTCGCGAGTAGAAACGGGTTTTCGAAACGTCGCAAATTTTGTCTTCTATCCACTTGGCTCCTATAACTCCTTTGTTCTCTAGCGAATAAGACGATAGAAGAGGCAAAGCGATGAGATGAGAGTATGCGAGAGAAACAGAAAGAGAGAGAGAAAAGGTAGGAGATAACTACGTCAGGATGCTTTTTGAAGGAGTTGAAAGAGTGGGATGGGTGGGTGGAGGTTGGTGGTGGAGGTGGGGGAGGGGGATAGAGAATTCAGAATTCGAGTGGGCGTAGCAAAAGCGAGAATAAATTTAACATGGAATGAATAAGAGAGAAAGAGAGAGAGAGAAAGTGGTGGTGGAGTGAGGTGTGGAGTGGGGGTGTGGAGAAAACATCATCCGTTTGCAATTCGATGTAAAATCGTACGAGTGTTGTAGTTTCACTTGCTGTATTAGCCGGACTTGTTTACACTACGATTCCGAGCGTGAGATTTGTTGAACTCTACCTTCGATTTAACCGCGAACTTTCTCTTTCTCTTACTATCTATCATTTTCTATTCCCCCCTCCCTCTTCTTGCAGACATATACTTTCGACGTTGGTTCGGGGGCTAAATTTGCAATTCGACTATAGAAGAAAGTAATCAAATTAATCGAATATAACCCTTTTCCTAATTTGCAAAGTGAAAATAATATTATATTTGCGATGAATGATGAATTGATCGGATCAAAATTTTAGTCCTCGAAATTCAAAATTCTATTAATATATCAATAATATAAAACGATAACAAAAATTTTTTTGGATGGGGGAAAAGAAAAAACGAAAAAGAAAAATTTAAAAAAAGAACATTTAATTTATTTTCTTAAAACCGTTCAATTAAAAGATTATAACTAACAAAGTATTTTGCTCGAGTAGCAGACTACTCCTCGAATGCAAAGTTAGTAGAGTTGGCCGTTAGTTGATGATGAACAGTATCGTCGTCGTTACTATGCTCATGAATATTACACGAATAAGATTCTACGCATCGGACTACATCGTTGCAACGAGTTAATGAATTATCGGTGTAATTAATCGAACGTACCGAGAGCGCGAGCGTCCATTACGCGAGTACTACCCAACCCTTCCCTCCCCCTTCCCCTTCCTCTTCTTCCTCCTCGATCGCTACTTCACCATCTCTCCCTCTTCTTCTTCCACCACTATATATTCCTTTTCTTCGTTCCCGCATGCATGTAAATTCGTATTGTACACCAGGCGGGGGGGGGGTGAGTATGTATGTACTATGTGTGTTACTCCTAGGTAGTTGGTTTACTTCGTTTAATTTAATATTCATGCATTCGTTCGCGAATTAATTTAGGCGGTTTTGTAATAATATATATTGGTCTGAAAATAATTTCTCCGTAGAAAATTTCGAGATGCGAAATGAAAAAAGAGGAAGGATAGGAAAGGAAAGAGAGAAAGAAATAGAAAAAAAAAAGAAAAAAGAAAAGTTAGTAGTATCTACTAAAGCGAATACATTTAAAGTCGTTTTGTATCCATATAAAATATATTACATATCTCGAAGAATGCTAATATTTTTCTTCGACGAGGGAAAACTCGATTTATCGTTTCGTTTAAACGACACTAACACGGTTGCACACACCTATATTACTTGCTCTCTAGGTTATCGTCATTGCGTAACGCGTTGAGCGATTTGCAACGATCGATGTTTATTTATATTACTATATATATATATATATAAATATTAGTGTGGGTCAAAAAAATCAATTATTTTTTTTTTTTACAAGTGCCATGGAAAAATGAGTTGCTAGACACCTTAAAAAAATTCTCACCAAATATGAGCTCTTAATTTTAATAGGAAGACCCTCCGCATCGCAGTTTTTTATTTTTTTCTCAGTCCAATAGAATAAAATTCATATCTCATGATTAATTGATTGTACAGAAAAATGTTCTGGAAGAATTTTATAGGAAATTTAATGCTCTACAAAAAAGGTATCTTATATTTTTTCCGTAAACCTCACCATTTGAATGATATTAAAGATTTAAGTTTGATTCTTTTAAGACAAATTTCATTTTTGTTTATGAATTTTATAACTCGACAATAAATGACTATTATAAAATGTGCAATACAAATTTTTGTAGGGAATTAACTGCTCTATATAAATGATGTCTTATGTTTTGGCGATTAAATTAAGCGTTTAAAAGATATTCATCATCAAACTTTCATGTGTACTGATTTCTGTCTCTGAATATCTTTTGAACGTTTAATTTAATCGCCAAAACATAAGACACCATTTTTATAGAGCAGTTAATTTCCTACAAAAATTTGAATTGCACATTTTATAATAGTCATTTATTGTCGAGTTATAAAATTCATAAACAGAAATGAAATTTGTCTTAAAATAATCAAACTTAAATCTTATATATATATGTATATGTAGATATAGATATAGATGTTATATATAGTTGCATATAAAATTATCCGTCCAAACATAATTTTATCATTTAGTATGGTTTAAAAAATACAGAATGAAAACTCAAATATATCATTGTAAAGCGTTTTTATTATGCCATCAAAATATGTAATTTAAAAATTGTTTATAACTGTTAACAATTATTTGTTACAAATATGACAATTTCTGGTTTTTCATAAATATCCGGCCATGTTCTATAAAGGTATTATTAATCAAGGTAGAATGTATTTTACTTCGCTATGTTTACGTTATCAGTCGCGAATGTATGTAAACATTGAGTTCGTTGTCTTTTCTGTATTGTATGATCAGTAACACTTTGTCAAAATGCCGAAATGCACATTTTTAAACATTCGTAAATTAATTATTAAATTACACGATGAAGGAAAAGTCTCCCGTGAAATATCAACAATTTTGGCTATCAGAAAATCGACTGTTAACAATATTATTATTAAATTTAAGACAACGGGTACTTTAGAAGCTAAACGCAATCCTGGGCGACCAAGAAAAACAACTAATCGTGTTGATAGAGTAATTAAAAGAAAGGCTATCTCAGACGTAAAAAAGAATGCTGCAATCAATGCACGCGAGTTACGCGAAGAAAATTTGGCTGACATTAGTCAAAGTACTGTGTCACGAAGGTTGACAGAAGTGGGACTTTTCAGACGCGTTTTTGTTAAAATACCACTTATCAGTAAGAAAAATAAGAAGGACAGATTGGAATTCGCAAAAAGACATCAGCACTGGACTATTGAAGATTGGAAAAAAGTGCTCTTTTTGGATGAAACTAAAATTAATGTGTTTGGAAACGATGGGAGGAGATATGTTCGACGACCAAAAGGTACTAGATATGATTCAAGACATCAAATACACACTGTAAAACACGGTAAAAGTAGCATTATTCTATGGGGTCCCTTTTCTTGGAAAGGCGTTAGCCCAATCTTTAAAATTGAAGACACAATGGACTCTATTAAATATAGAGATATCATATTAGATGTAATTCTGCCTTATGCATGTCAAAACGTGCCACGAGGATGAATATTTCAGCAGGATAATGATCAAAAACATCAATTAAAGCTTCGTCAACAGGTTTTTTCCCAGAAAAAAAGCCCGAATTTTAGAGTAGCCAAGTTAATCTCCGGACTTAAATCCCATAGAACATTAATGGCAAGAGCTAAAACTAAAATTAGGRTCTAAAACATGTGCGAATAAAGCTAATTTGTGGGAAAAAGTTCAAGAAGAGTGGAAAAATATCTCTCAAGATAAAATCGTTAAACTAATTGAATCGATGGCTCACCGATGTGCTGCTGTGATAGCTGCAAAGAGTATGGCTACTAAATATTGATGAAAATTTAACATTTATTTCTTATATTTATTTTTTATTACTACTTCTGATTATTTTTCCTTCAATTTTTTCTATACATAGTGTGAAATTTGTATTTATGAAAAATAATTTCTGAAAAATAATTTGGTATTTATGAAAAACCAAAAATTGTTATTCTTGTTATAAATAATTATAAATTGTTATATATAATTTTGTAATTACATGGTTTTATAACAAAATAAAAATACTTTACGATGATATATTTGTATTTGTATTTTGCACCCTTTACATGTTACATAATCAAAAAATTATGTTTGGCCGGATAATTTTGCATGCAACTGTATGTATGTAGGCATGTGTGTATATGTGTATTCTTGTCTAGATACGTTATTCAATATCGTTATGCACGAAAGAACCAATTAACGAGAAACCTTCTTTCTTCTTTAAACTTTACTTTAACCAAGGTTGATGCTTTCGTTGAATTTCTTTCAAGAAGATTAATACGTTTACTCTTCTTTGTGCTATTATATTTTACTCTTCAAAAGATTTTTCATCTTTTCTCCTCCTCTTCTCCACTTCTTTTTCTTATGTTTTTTTGTGTTTTATTTTTCTTTTTTTTCTCTTTTTGAGAAGAAAATAAAAATGGACAAAAAAATAAATATTAGTTCATACGACTTAATTTCATCTTAGAAATCCGCATTTCCTTTTTCAACTATTCCTACGTAAGAATAACTTTTTTATCGTTGAAAAGTCAAAACCGATTATTATGTTTTGTCGAGAATAAGAAACTTGGTCAAATCTGGGTACTTTCGAGTTTTTCTTTTTTCGTCTTGTGGTACTCCTCAGAAAATGCCGTTTAGTTTCGACATCATAATCTAAAGATATTTTCGAAAAAGATTTCACTTTATAAAAATTTCGAATTCTACTCATAAATTCCATTGAATAAGTTATATGAGAGATTGCGTAATACTATTTACAATAATATAATTTATATTGAAACATTTTGTAAATTATTGTTTCATTTTTATCGACGAATATAAAAATTTATTTAAATGTCTAACGATGATAGATTTGTTTTTATTACTATTATCATGTAACGAATATATGCGTATTAAGTATGTATTTTGTTACAATCCCATATATATAACATTAATACAAAATGAATTTTTACAACATATAATGCAAAACATTATTTTCAAATGTCATTATTATCGTTGTTTAACATTTATTCAAGTAACATTGAATTTTTATAAAATTTATTTCCCCGATAATGAAATCTTTTTATTAACATTGATAAAGTTCTCCCCTCTTGTTCGTCAACATGGATTTAACGCTTTATCGATTTACATAAATACGTAATTAGATAATAAAAATATCATTTTAAAAGAATAATATCCGGTGAACGAACTTTTGTTTATACGAGGATTAGGAAAGGGTGAGTTGAGTTAAAAAGTTTTCTACCTACGTCAGAAAATAATATGGGAAGAAATTTGATCGAAAAAATAACATATATATATTTATTCTTTTATACTTTATATACTATAGGTTGAAAAAATTAATTCAATTCATCGAATATATATTTGACATTTCACAAATCAACGTTGTGTATCGTTTAATTAGCAACATCAAACGTTTATCTGTTAATATTCAGAATCCAGGAACAGATATTACACTCTCGAATACCTCTAATTATTATCAATTCTCTCTGTTCCTAATCGGTTCGATATCAAAGTCTCTTAGTTTCAATAGGATTATGTAAAATCCATAGTTGTTTTAGATAATGTAGAAGGACGAGCGGATAATTGCTGATAACTCGTTAGTTATTAGACAACATGTTTGTTTTCATAATGCAACGTAGAATCGATATTGATAAAAGTACTTTCTTCTGTAGTATAGCTCGATATTTTCTTTACAAAATTTATTTTTCATTATCAACGAGATTCCACTTATTTACTTACTTATTTACTTACTTACTTCCTTTACTTGAACGCTTAGAATAATTTTCATCCTTTTTCGTAGCGTATCTCAACAAGCACGAGTTTACTGTTAAGGATTTTCTTTACTCCTTGTATTTTAATTATTTTACTTAAACGTGTACCAAGGAAAATCAAGCGTTCGATTAAACTCTACGAAGCATTATATTATATACAGAATATTTCAAAATATCTCAGCATCACATAACTTTCAGGGAAATAGTTTCGATTAATCGAAATTTAAGAAGAAATTTCGTATAATCGTTATGTTCGTTGCTACTTTCTTTTTTCCGTATTATATTTGTTTTTTTTTATCTCCCAATAATTAATACGACTTTATTGATAATTAAAAGCAAAAGAATTAAAACACAAGTTTTTTTTTTGTTTAGCTTCAACATAATTCAATCAATTCTCGTAATTCATTAAACGTGATTTATTTATGAACCCTTATTAATATTAAACACTATAATGATCTAATTTACTATTGTATTCTATGCGTGTATAAATATATAATCAGAATCGTATAATCATGATTTAAAAGAAAAAAATAAATAATAATAATAATAATAGAATTAACGAACACTGTTCTAATAAATAAATTAATTATCAAAAGGGAGAAAATGATTACAGTTGTCTGTTCGTAAAAAAAAAAAAATATATATATTGTAATAATATATTTGTCCCTGAAGAATTGTTAGACCTTTCACCAAAAACCGTTGTTCTTTCGAACAAAAGAGAAAACGAATGAGATATACAAGGAGAAGAAGAAAAGTAGCACGTATTTGACCCTGACTTGGCAGAAGTTCAAGGTACGCTCGCGTGCCTCGTTTTATCGATTTGTCGACTGATAACGGTGTCATTGTTGTGTTGCACACAAATCACTCGGCCGATCGACCGTTATCTCTTCTCTTTTATCTTCGATAACGATCGAACGAAAACGAAACTCACCTTCTAATTAGAAGCACGACTTTATTAGTTTCTACTTTTTCTTCTTTCCTTTTCTTTTCCTTTGAGAAACAACGTTCCTCTCTTTCTCTCTTTTATAACACTAGATGGCCGGATGTTTGTTATAAATCTACTTTACCTGTAATGAGTCAATTAAGACTCAAACATTGAAATTAAAGTTTATTAAGAAAAAAAAACAATTTATGAATAAAATTTTATTTTAGAGAAACTTTATTCTTTTATTATTTTATGTAGCATTAATTGCTATTAATTGCTATTATATATATATATATATATATATATATATATATATATATAATTAAAACGACATTTTTAAAAATAGTGGAACATATTGAATAAATGTTTAANTATATATATATATATAATTAAAACGAAATATAGATATTATATATTTTTTTATATATTTTTTATTATATATTTTTTTATATATTTTTTTATATATTTCTATACATTTTTATATATTTTTTTTATAAATTTTATTTTATATATTTTTTTTTATTAATGGAGAAATATACAATCAATTCTTGGTCGAGAATTATAAGTAATTTTTGCTGACTTATTACACATTGACACGAGTTGTTATAAAAATAAGTATAAACGGATATAACTGTTACAGTATAATCATATTATTATTTCAAGGAAATTTTACTTCTAGGTCACACGAGTAAAACTTTTTCAGTCTACCTACTAAATTACAGTTTTCTAGCAAATATTTACAAGAGGGTTTGGATGGTTTGCTAAACGCTTTTTGTAACGTTCATTGAAACATATATTATGTAATGTGTTTATGAAATACACTTCTCATACATTTTTTTTTATTACATCTAGCTCAGACGTCCTTATTTTTTATTCTTTTGCATGATACTCGAACTTGAAAATTAAACCGCATCTGATTTAATTCTCGCGTCAGATTGTTTATTAAAAATTTTCTGTGCACAAGAAATTGGTTAGATATGTGTAAAACGATCACTTTTAAGAATGAGTTAATGTAACTTATAGCCATCAAAATAGGTATAGCACATATGAATTTTGGAAATTAAAGAGTGGGAAGGAATTAGTATTTGTATATAACATATTTCATAATTCTATTAAAAAGTAACATATGTCTTAAAACAAAAATTATTTAAGTTTCATTAAATATATAGCAATAAAATCGTAAATAAGTCAAATCGACTCACATCTGTCAAAATAAGTACAGCAACATATAAGAATTTTTAGAAATTAAGGAGTAGAAAGGGAAAGATATGGATAGAACATTTCTATACGTTTGATAATTTTATTAAAAATCAACATTCGTTATTAAAAAAATAATTAAAATTTTGTTTGTAAATGCATAGCGATAAGATTGTAAATAAGTTAAATTGACTGGCATCGATAAATCTAGCGTTAATATTTTTTTGTAGAGTTTTTTTTCATACCTTACAGCAGATTTTCCAATTTTCATATCTTACAATTAGCTCGTTTCGAAGAATTTTCAACGAATGCCTCGATGATTTTCTCTTGTTTTTCTGCACTCCGGATTCGACTTTAAAGTTTCTCCCTTTGTTTCACAAGTTTCTTCTCTCTTTCTCTTTCTCTCTTTTCCCTTTTCTTCTCTGCTCTCTTCCTTTTCTTTCTTTGGATTACAACAAGCCTGCAGTTATTAGCCTCTCGCCCTCGTAATTTATTCACGAACGTAAAGACACCGTAAAGTGCTCTCGAATGGAGAAACATTAAGCGGAAATAAAATGAGGAAACGGCGCCCCAGGTTAGTTCGCGTTCATTCGTTCGTTCGT